AAATGATAGAAATCATAGAAATTAGAGAAAGTTGAGATCCATGATCGACGGGATCATCATTCACTAATTGTAATTGGTGCAGTATTAATGCGTCATAACTAGACTATCACTAATAACGTTCTTTCTCAAAGAAGAATCCCGCCACACCCAAAACATATCTATCCAGAGCCGATCTAAGAGAATTTCATGATCCAAAGGTTCCTAGAAGCTAAAAAGAAAGAAAAAAAAACGTTAATAACGTTCTTTCTCAAAGAAGAATCCTGTTACATCCAAAACCTACTGATCCAGAGCCGATCCAAGAGAATTTCATGATCCAAAGCCATTCCTACAAAAAAGAAAAAAAAAAAACGTTAGTAACGTTCTTTCTCAAAAAAGAATCCTGTCACATCCAAAACCTACTGATCCAGAGCCGATCTAAGAGAATTTTATGATCCAAAGCCATTCCTACAAAAAAGAAAGAAAAAAGAACGTTAATAACGTTTTTTCTCAAAGAAGAATTCTGCCATATTCAAAACCTACCTATCCAGAGCCGATACAAGAGAATTTCATTATCCAAAGATTCCTAGAAGCTAAAAAGAAAAAAAAGAATGTTAGTAACGTTCTTTCTCAAAGAAGAATCCCGCTACATCCAAAACCTATCTATCCAGAGCCGATCCAAGAAAATTTCATGATCCAAAGGTTCCTAGATGCTAAAAAAAAAGAACGTTAGTAACGTTTTTTCTCAAAGAAAAATCCTGCCACATCCAAAACCTACCTATCCAAAGCCGATCCAAGAAAATTTCATGATCCAAAGGTTCCTAGATGCTACAAAAAAAAAACGTTAGTAACGTTCTTTCTCAAAGAAGAATCCCGCCACATCCAAAACCTATTTATCCAGAGCCGATCCAAGAAAATTTCATGATCCAAAGGTTCCTAGATGCTAAAAAAAAAAAGAACGTTAGTAACGTTCTTTCTCAAAGAAGAATCCCGCCACATCCAAAACCTACCTATCCAGAGCCGATCCAAGAAAATTTCATGATCCAAAGGTTCCTAGATGCTAAAAAAAAGAACGTTAGTAACATTCTTTCTCAAAGAAGAACCCACCCCATTCAAAACCTACTCTCAAGAGCTGATCCAAGAGAAATTCCAAGATCCAAAAGTTCCTAAAAACTGTTTCTAAAAAAAAATAAAGGAAAAGAACGTTAGTAACGTTCTTTCTTAATGAAGAACTCCACTCATTTCGCCTAAAACTTACCGAAAGATATATCTCTAAAAAAATTTCAGAATCCGAAGCCGTTCCTACAAAAAAAGAAAAAAGTGGAGGGAGAAAGAGAGAAAGAAAGGGAGAAAGGGAGAGAGGGAGAAAAAGAGTATAAAAAAAATTAAATTAAATTAAATTAATGAATTGCTTCAGACGACGGTTACAGTTGATTGGTTATGTAATCGTTCAGCATACCACGTAAAAAGGTCCCGCATCTCCGCTAAAAATAATAAAAAAAAAAGCCACTGGTCATGGTTAATATATATTTCTTGCTCGTTTAATATATTCAATCATTTATAATTTTAGATTGATCGGCGAATTTCTATGAATTTCTAGAATGTCGATCATTTGTCGATCAACACTGTATTTAGAAATTCCATATTTGGTAAAATCCTTGACTGTATTAGTGTGATACTATATAACGCTTCATATCTTATAAGAATTTTATATGTAAATTTTGTGTAACATTATGCATAAACAGATACTATTCGTGTTACTCTTTCAGCAAATTATTTCTTTTTTGAACTGTACAACTTTACCAATGTCTGGTGTTGCAAGTTCTTCAAGCATTCCTGTTACAACTACAAGTACTTTTTCAGATAGTCTCCCGTCAGTTGAAAATGTTATGAAATGGAAGAGGAAGGAGGTTCTTGATTTCTTATAAGAAAATAAAGAAGTCTTGGATATTGAGCGTAGTGATATCAAGATAATTGAAGATAACAGAGTCGCTGGTCTTGCCTTTCTTGACTTGACCGAACAAAAGCTTGTCAATCCTCCTTACAATCTTCTTGGCGGACCGGCTGGAGCAATAGCGAATTTAGTTAAGAGAATTAATGACACAGGGCAAGGTATTTGAATCAAAATAAAATATTTTTTCTGTCTTCTGTCATATTCGCCAATAATACCGAATACTTACTTATTCTTGGTCTTTTCTTTCCTGCTTCTTATCGTCAAACTCGCCCAAAAAACACATTTGCGTTATCGTAGAGCAACCTGTTGCTGGTAAGTGAGTCATGACAAACTTGATCAACTCGATATAGCTTGACTTTTTTGATAGCCATTTTTTCATTCTCGCTTGCGTGGTGTCATTTAATATTTTATGCTATTTATTATTTTGTTATTTCGCTCTTTATGCCTCTTATTTATTCATTTTATTATACAGAGCCTCTTAACAAACGCGTAAAGATAGATGATGAAGATCTGAATAAACTTTGGTAAGCTTTAAAGAATGCATTTCATAGTAATAACTATCTTAGACTATCCGACTCTACCCGATTTTTAGGAAAAGAAGATTCTGCTTTGAAAATTCGTAAAAGTTATCGTGATCTGCTAAGTGTCATCTTTGATGATGAAATAAGAAAACTACGCATAACTGGAAATCCAGGTATTGTAAAAACCTATTTCATATATTATTTACTTTATCAACTTGCACTACGAGATGCAATTGTTGTATATGATAACTTTAATGAAACTAGACCGATTATCTTCGAAGGAGAAAAGGCCCTCATTAGCGACAGTGATGGTATAGAAGTATACCTGAGAAATCTGGCCGTTTGGTATATTATAAATGGCAGGCAACCTAAGAATGTTAATGCTAAAACAATTCTAATCTGTTCGCTCAAGAGGGTCCACTATGCGCAGTTTGATAAGTATACTGGATTAACAATACGGTATATACCAAGATGGAACTGGAAAGAGATCAAAAATTGCAGGAAAAAACTCTATAATGATAAAGTACCCCTGGAATTAACTCAGGAACTATTTTCGAATTGGGGAGTAATCCCACGATATGTCTTGGAAAAGGCTAACGATAGAACTCAACAATCAAAGCTTAATGACGCAATTAAGACACTTGCAAGGAGAATATTTTTGATCTTATTAGCGAACGTTGCATAGAAAGATCCAAATTTAGTCACATGATCATTCATATCAATGTGAACCTCCTGGTCAAAAATGAGCTAAGTCAACTTCAACTGGATTAAAATGGAAAACCTCCCTATACAGAGGTAATTTTAAGATTTGCTTCTAACTATGTGCGGGAAAAGGTGACTGATAAACTTGAAACAAGTATAAGATAAAGGCTTCTTGAACAAACTAAAGCAGAACCCTAGTTTTATTAATATTAATTAGTAATTTTTCAATTTTAAAAAAAAAATTTTAATGAAACTTAGCTTTGTAGATTGATTTGAATCCTATAAACCTTAGGGTAGAATCAAATTAGAGGTAAGTCTTAATTAATAATTTTTTTATTTTTATATTAAGAAACTAACATTTAACTTACTTTTGTAAAATGATTCTATATTTAGAGGTAGATATATGTGGATCAATCTTTTGATTCAGTTTCTTTGACAAGACTGTTCAAAAAACCTGAATGATTTGATCAGATTAATCATAATGATCTAGTTCAAATTTCGATTTTAAGTTTACTTAATAAATATTTATTTATTTATTTACTACTAACTAGCATTTTTATCAAAAATACTGCTTATTTATATATAAATATATGCGCATATGTATAATATGAGCAATATAAGAATTTATTTTACTATATCATAATTGTTAATCAATTATAGCTTATATTGTTAAATTAGAATAAATATTTATGATTCTTTTTATTGTATTATTTAATTATTCTATCTAAAATATATTTTTAAAATATAATTGAGTTTTTTTTATTGCAATTTCGATTAGCCAACAAAAACCTATTATAATATCATATGATAATCAATTTTAAGCTAATTTGCATATAATTTCATAATTTTTTATACATAATAGGCATCTGCGTATGTAAGAACTAATTCAAATATATAACACTGCTTAGTACATTTTCCTTAAGTCCCTAAACTTTAAGTACATAAAATCAAGCGAAATAATTCAATGGTATTCCAGATACCTATAGGATATGAGATTCCCTAAGATTGTAAAGTCCAATGATAAGAAATTTACTTATTACAGTAAAGCAACTTAGTGAAATATATGTGTAAAGAGAATTTTTCACAGTAATAATATAGTGATTCCTACTAGACTAATATAAAGTGAAAAGTATATTAAAATTAAAGTAGATTTAAATACTCTTAAAGAAGATAACCAACTATACGACCTTAGTCACAAATCTGATATTAGCCCTAAAAGATTAATAGAAAAAGATATTTCATATCATATTTGCTATCCCTTGTATATATTTGAACCTGATAATTTTGAAGACTTTTTATATTAGTACTATATTCAATATAGATCATATAGATATTCAAATATACTCTTGATTTATTTGAAATACTAAAACAAGTAACTAAAGAATTAAGCAAATAACCTAAAGATATCAATCTTGTATAAATTATAACTTCTCAAGTCTATACATTAATTAGCAGTTTTAGATATAAGAAAGTTGTTAGCTTACCCTCAGTTGCTAAATTAATAGTTCTATTAGTAAAAATAAATTGTAGAGAAAAAGAAAACATACCTTTTGCTAAGTAGACAAATATAATTATTAAAGTCATTAGAGCTCCGAACAGGTCGGGTCGGGTCGGGTAATTGACTTGACCCGACCTGATAAGGTCAGGTCGGGTCAGACA